GGAGATGATGATAGTGGTTAAAAATTTTTTTATATAAATTGGCCTTTTTTTTTTTAAACTTCGCCTATGGCTATAAAGACTTAGGAATATATTTCATAACAAAAACACACATATAAGCAAATGTTATCTCAGTAGTCAGTACAAGTGCAACGTACCTATTTTTTGTATGCGTGTACCTTGAAGATAATTTCATGTTGAATTCAGGTAGAGCGAAATGAGGAAAGTGAATATGTTGTTCAACTAAATCAGGTATAGTCAATTAGTTTATATATCTTGTAAAACTACTCGTATAAATATACACGCAACAAATAATAGAAAAATAGATTCAAATTGATCTTTAACTTTCTCTTCAAATCCTTTGTAATATCTGAGAAAAGACCATCGTAGAAATAATTATGATCATAATTCAAAAACGAAAAAATGGAATAATATAAAAATAGCCAAAGGTTTCATGTTTATATATTATTCACATTTGTATATATCGAGTTTAATTCAAACTATCATGTTTTTTTTTTGTCAACATTCAAACTATCATGTTTTTGCTATTATATACAGTAAACTTTTTAAAACAAAATATGGGTTAAAAACATTTTAAAAATTTACAAATGGAGCTTTGCTTTTGGAGCTACTTTTAAAAAATTTGATTGTGATATACAAGTTAGGTAAAAATTTAATTTAAGTGTAAAACCACATATTACTTAATGAATTGATCTATCTCATATTTCGGATCCGGATCTCACAAAGTTTCCTTCTCCTATGCTCTATTCAACACACATGCAACTTCCACACATAGCGTAAAGCCACCAAAAAGTCAAGTCTTCTTCTTCACCTCGCAAAGTCGTGTATGTGTATAGAGGTATCAAAGATACGTTTATCTCCGGTTGGCATTATAAAAACATGTTGCATCGCACCAAGTTGAGTCAAGCCACGTTTGAGCTCANGTTTGATGCATTGTAGAGGAGTTCTCTTATATGGACTAATGGACCCTATTGGGAACATGTGTTGAGCTACTGGAAAGGGAGCTTAGAAGATAAGGAGAACGTTCTCTTTTTGAAGTATGAGGAGATAATTGAGGAGCCTCGTGTTCAAGTCAAGAGGCTCGCCGAGTTCTTGAATTGTCCATCTACCGAGGAAGAAGAGAAGAGTGGATTGGTGGAGGAGATCTTGAAATGGTGTAGCTTGCGTAACTTGGGAGATTTAGAGACGACTTATAAGAAGGGTAGAACTGATATCCATTATATTCTAATGTATTCTTTAGGAAAGGTGAAGTTGGTGACTAGAAGAATCATCTCACTCATCATATGGCCAAAACCATTGACGAGATCGTCGAATGTAGACTACGAGGTTCCGGTTTGATATACTTCAATACGGTTGTGTTATTTGTTTTCAAAAGTAGATAGATGATCATAAATTCATAATTAAGATGGCAAAAACAAATATTTTATTTCAGATATGGATTTTTAAAACATCAATCCCTCCAATGTGTCTGTTTTGCCTCGTTCGCCAAAAACTTTTTACAAAATATTTAAAAATAATCTAGTAAATAAAATTGTCTTTAGAGGCCAGCTAAAAAGTCCAATCGGGTACGGTAGAATAAAGAAGCCGAGATGATGCTGAAATCCTAGGCATAGATTCTAACTCCTTTTGGCACTCTTGAAGATTGCCGAAGATCTTCACTGTCTTTAAACAGTTTGAGTTAGCGAGAATGTATGTCATTAGTTGTTTTTCATCTTCTTTTCCTTCATAGTTTTTCCACCTAACAATCTCTAGATAAGACGATAAGCATTGGGGAATAGTACTCGGCTGGTTCCACGAACATGTGGGAGAACCCTGATACCATTACATTAGTTACTTTAATATTTAAATTCATCAAACCTAGATGTGCATATTGAAAGGATGAGGGCACTTACCTTGGTGTCGATCGTAAGAATTTTCAGTTTCGGAGAGTTTTGAAGCATAAAAATAAGTGGTTCCAACCAATATACTGGATTTTGTGAAACAAAGACTAAATCTATGAGCCGAGAGAAAGTAATGGCGTTACAACAGGCAACCTGCAACAAAACAAACAAAGAAGATTGGTTGAGGTCTTTTGAGGAACAAGGAACAAGGAACAAAGGAGATTATGTAACCGTTACCATTGATTCGGATAAATACAAGCGGAGAAGTCTGGCAGAAGAAAGACACCTCAGAAACTTTCCATCAGGGTTAGGAACATAACTGATGTATACCTCATCAAGGCAAAGCAGATTCTCTATCAAACTACAATAGTATCCCCAATCGTCAAATATGGTTAAATTTGTTAATGCAGGGCAATCTATCACCAACGACCCAATCTGATCTTCCTCGCCGACCCATCTACCAAAACTTCCCCATCTACAATAACTTAATATTTTCAATGAAGGCACTTTCACGGTAAAGTTTGTCAAGTTGTCATCCGCATCACGTCGTCGAACCTCCAGTTCGCGGAGAACAGGGGAACTTGATAAAAGCCTAGAAAGAGAATCTTCGTCTTTGTACACAACGTTGAGAAGATCCAGATATAAGAGAGATGGCAGGCTAGCTGGGAAAGAAACATCGACGAGGATCTCGTTGGATAGAGCTAAAGAAACGAGCGTGCCGCAGGTGTAAAGGCTATTAGGGAAGCTTGTGGGCTCTCCTATCCAGAGGAGAGCGAAATCTAAATCTCTCACGCTGTGGTTAACTGCCTTCTCAACCCACTTTCTTACATCTACGTCAACAGGACATTGTGGACTCAGTTCGACGACCAGGCTTGCTAGTAACGGTGCCTTGTGGAGTTGCATTGACTTGTCAATAAACCACCCAAAGCTCTCGCTGTCTTGGTCGTCTCTGAAATCGAGTTGAGGCAGCATCTGCCAGACGTAACGCCATCGTTTAGACAAGATCGCAGTGGCCGCCGCCTCTTTTGCCGGGACGAGGATTAAGATCCGCAATAGCAAATCGTCGGGCAAATCACATATTCTCAGACAACCTTCGGTTTCTGGAACAATCCTTAACAAACCCATAGTCTCCATTTCTCATTCACCTAAAAGAATACCACATAACAAGAAGCAAAGATGTTATGCACAGAAACCATCTAATTGATATCCACTTTTCCATCTACAAATCTCATAGTTACTGAAAAATCTGGAATTTATGTATCTAAATCGTTGAGCAATTCAGCACAGAGAGGATAAAGGATGGTTAGAGATTAATAATACAATAAAGCAATATCAACCTGTTCATACTGGTCATCAAATTCTAATGAAAACACTATTCGAAACCCCAAATGACGGATGGAACAACGATAATCGAAGCATAAAGGTTGAACCTTGAAATTACTTGAACAAAACCACCTACAATCATAAAAGAAAGATACTAACGAGGTTTAGGCGAATGCTTACAAGACGAAAGGATTGTTGTTTTTTTTCTTTATTAAATTAACGAATCAGCCGATCTGATTAAACCCTTGAGAGCCAGAAACCTGATATCGAACCCAAGAGGAAAAAATTTGAATTTTACCCAAATTTGATATGAAAGGGACGAAAGGATCTGATTTGTAAAACTAGAGAATGATATGAATATTTGAGATAGTATTTATACATATAAGATGAAACCGACCTAAGTTCTAATAGGAAAAGGAAATAGATCGGAGAAAAGACAAGTACAAATAGGAAAAAGGTTTATGGATTGAGGATAGAGAAGTAAATTTTTGGGCAAGAGAAGGATGGAGCGCGACGGATTCTGTTCTGATAAAACTCAGAGACGCAAGAGAAAATACGTGAGAACCCTGAGCCGGTTTTGCGTTTGCGTTTGCGTTTAAAGCCCTGTTTTGTAATAGTACGAGTCTTATCTGTCATAAATCTGAATGTTTTCTTTCTCTCTCATCAAACGTTATTTAATTAAGAAAAATAAATATATAAACAGAGGAAAAAAACTCGCTTTGCCCCACCGCGTCCTCTCGGAGATGAAGATCCGTCGCCTCTGCCTACTCCAAAATCCAAAGGTTGAAGTTTTTGAAATCCTAAAGGGAGATGCCAATTTAGAGAAGCATAGTGAGAGAGAGAGATGGCGAGACAAGCGGGGAAGCAGAGTTGTGTTAGTTTCATGCCTTGCGCTTTTAGCCGTTGGCCGACTTCCTTTGGGCTTCTTCTCATCGCTTCTCCTCCATTGGGATGTCTCTTCCCTCCTCCGTTACCACTGTGATCGGACAACTCCCGCCTGATTCCAATGTAAGTGTTCGATTTTGTCTGTTGCTCATGTCTAGAGCTCAAATATCACTTACTTTGGGGGGCTTTAAGGAGAAAGACACTAAGAAGAAGAAGAAGGATAATGCTCGGGAAAGGAAGCTTTCCGCAACGTTTCAAGATTTGGCTGCGATTCAGATTAGGAATTTTCTATATGTCTTTGCTGGATACGGCAACATTGATCTCGTAAGCGTCTTATATCTTCTTATTCTGAGTTGCTTTTTCTGTCTGCCTTTCAATATTCAGGTGCATTCGCATGTTGATATATACAATTTCGTAGATTCGATATGCCTTAAGAGATGGCCCATTCACATTTAGGGATGGTAACTGATGGGCGGTACATCTACATTGTCACTGGTCAATATGGTCCTCAATGCAGAGGGCCTACATTTGTGCTCGACACTGATACAAATACGTGGAGTGACTTCATTTCTTTACCAGTTCCTAGGTAAGTTTGGAACAAGTAGATGCAGTTTGGAATAGTCCGATTACTTTTGAGGGTTATGTACGATAGTGTTCGGGTTTGAGAAACTTGGACATCATTCTGCTGCTCAAGATTGATATTCTTTGTTACCATCATGTTAGATGTTTAAGGCCTAAAAATCAACACGTCGATGACTACAACTTGGATCACTAACACTGAAAAAGGCCTTAGGGTGCAATGCGAGGCCCACGTTCAAATATTTTGTCAAACGTTGTCGTTTTTGCTCAGAATCTACGCGCCACCGTCTAAGCTGCAACGTCATTGCACGCGCCACCTTGCTTTCCACAGCGCTCGAATCATTCCAGCTGCAACCCCGCTCACATCTTCCACCTTATTTAGACTTGGACGCGTCATCCTCTGCCGCAAATTCTTAACGCTGAACCAAAACGCCGAGTTTGAGAAATTTTGAGAAAATGTAATATGATTAACTATTGTATATGATTTTTAAAATGATGATAATCGATTAAATCATATTGGAATAAAATTGTAATATATTTTTGAAGATACGGTTCTGTTTTTATTTAAATGATTATTGATTAATGTCATTTAAACGGTGCTAAAACCGGCCAACTATGTAATTTGTATTACTGATTGCATCACCAATGAAGTCGCAAAGGACTCCTATTCTCATGTTACTTTGACCTTTTTCTTCTCTCTAGTTTTCTTAGTTCCAAAACTGAATTGTCTGTAATTTGATTTGATATGTTTTCAACTTTCTATTTTTCATTATTGATGCGGTTTTTGTTTTGGCATGGAAAACTAGTAGGTTCTTTTTTTTTTACAAAAGAAAAGGGTTGTAATCAATCTAGGCTTAGATTATCCAGTTCTTAGAAGCAAGTTACTTTTTAAAAACGAATAAATAATTATCAAAGAGGTTGTGATTGATAAATGTTGTTACAATGTTTGTCACTAAATTTGTTGAGAAATATCGATAGTCCTCATGTGTGACACCTTTGCATCTAGGTGTCTTCTCATTCTCCACTTGTCTCTTCCACCTTTATTCACTCTCTCTCCCTACTTCAATGATCCACTTCTTTGATTTTTACACAAACAAAATATTCCCAAAAATTGAAGAATTAAGAATACTTATCAAAAAGATCAATAGAAGAATCAAATAGTTTCCCAACAGAATTCGTATTATCAACAAAATATGCCAAAACAATCCAAGAACTAAAGTATACTTCAAATATCAAAAGAAAAATACATTGTTGACTTGCATCTTCAGAATCGAGTTATGGGGAAGTTAATAACATCCTGCAACAAATAATCCA